TGAGACATTTACCCCCTGCCTTGTGATGCTTCTGCAAGATAGAGCTCCCCCCACCCCCTTCCTGCCGTTTAGCCCTCCGGGAACGATTCGATCCAACCGAAATGAAGAGAAGAAAAAACAAGGAATATTAAAATATGATTCCTAAGATACGAATGAAAAAATTGGAAATTTCTGAAAATTATGATGGAGAAAAGATAGATGAGAGTTTTTTTTTGGATTTTGCTGATGACGACGAACAACACCCTAAAGATGATGATGATGAGGATGATGGTGACGACCAACCCACCTGCTGATGTGAAAGACAAACCATGTGAGCTGCTGACCCTTATCCGCCTGACTGACGGACAAATCTTGTACATGCGCGTGTAAGCCCGACCGGAGAAGGTCGCCACTTACACGTGTGTCGGCAAGATTTGTACTCGGTGAAGCTCCCTGAATGTATGGACGTCCGCCCCACACGGCAGTATGAATATCGAAATCCCCTTTCGCATCACTGACCGCGAGTGTCTGAGGGATTGTGAATCCCGGGAGTATTGGGAACACGCGTGTCTATCTGCACGATCGAGGGCGGAACCTCCAGAATTTCCATACTCAATAGGAAACGAACGTATTTGTGAGTGGGATATTGGTCAGGCTTTGGAACGTATCCCCCACCTCCCGGGCTGTCCCAACTCATATATATGTCACATTGTCGCGAAACATGAAATTATTATTCTGGAAACCGAATTCCCTCCCTATCACCGCATTTTGTCCTTTCACTCCCGGAACATCGCCCCCTGGCGGGCGCTCGTTCCCTACTAGCCAACCTCCGTGCTCAGAGTGCGTGCAGGACCACGATTGCCGAGCGTCCGGCTTCATCCGGCAAACTTGCTTGGAAGAAGAACGGCGGGAGCACAGCCTTCGGCTGAGGCTGGCCGCCTCGGACTCCGAAACCTGCGGCGTCCGACGTCGGCAGGTGATCAGCCAACGAGATAGCCATAGCGCCCCTGCGGTACACCAGATACGGATCCGACCCAGACGACGGGACCAACGGAGGTGATAGCTCCACTCCCTGAAGCGTAAAACGGTACCCCGACCCACGCCTACCCACTTGCATTCATAACCCTGAAACTTGGCACAGGAGATCTCAGTTCTGACCCGGGACTCCACCCCCAGTTTCCTAAAATGCTTGGCACACCCCGTTTTTCGCACTTCCAGGCCCACTATAACTCCGATCAGGAAGTCGTGCCGGGCGTGAGGTTGGGGCGTCACAAGGCGCGTAAGTGGCACTTAGGAGGTCTTGGAGTCGATTCCCATTGTTCTCATGTACTTTCCTGGGCAAGTTTGGCGCCCACCACCTGGAGATAGGCCGTTGGTCCCCCCGAGTGGGACTGAGCAGAGACATGTTCGTAGGGGGAGGGGACCGGAGGGGACGCACAGCAACTGGCCCATCGAAGAAGCTCGGTCCTGGTGCTACCAGCTGTAGCAGGTATCGCACCTGCTGGTGGGTGCAGCTCCCGCATGTTCCCTCGTTCGAGGCTTCAGCGCGGATGTAGCAGGTATCCCACCTGCTGGTGGGTGCAGCTCCCCCATTTTCCGTCGTTCGAGGCTTCAGCACGGATGTGGCTGCTACGGGGTTCCCCGTAATACTGTAATGACAATAAAAAAGCCCTGAAAGGCCGTCCTGTCCACATTTGACAGGTATAATTGAACTGTGGTTGACAATGACAAAAAAAAGACATGGCGGAAATCACGGCCGTAAACGACAAGTGTCGCGACAGGCAACGCGCGACCGACCGGTTGCGAACCCGCCTTCTGTCTCTGCAATGCAAGTGGGACTGCGACCCGCCTCTGTTTCCCGTATCCCCGTGCCCCGCCACCCCTGGGGGCTTTCCAACGACGCGGAAATACAAACGCCGCAGCGGTTGGCACAGCTGACCGCCTGGGCTGCGTCAGCATACAGTACAGCAGATAGTAGTAGAGCGAGACCCATAGGGCTTCGCTGCACTACTCTCCACATGATCAACAGAAAAAGTACGGCGGTGCATCTTTCCATGTTCTAAGGGATGATTCATTCTCATTTTGCACATTTGGATCATGGCAGGTAGACTCGATAGGAGTCTCGTTTTTTACGAAATAGGGCCTCGCCTCACCACTCTCGAAATGTGAAAAAGACAAAAAATTGGCGGGCGCATCTGGGCATGTTCTAGGGGGAAGTTCATTCTCATTTTGCACATTTCGAGAGTCGTGTGGCGACGCCCATCCACACACCACGACAGACAGCGCGCGCAAGGCGGAGGAGCCACTACCGGTAGGGTGGGGGCAGTGGGGGACAGGTTTGGGCGACAGGCCGACCTGCCGCTCGCCAGCCGACCCGCGTCCGCGTCGTATCGTATCGTATCTTGGCGTGAGTGAGGGCCGTCGTACGGAAGCTCGCCTATCAATTGGCACTTGAGAGACTCGAAAATTCGCGAGAGCGAGCGCGCCCACTCACACAAACAACCCTTTGAGGGAGTCGGAAGTTCCCGGCGCCCGTCGGGCGCTCAGCGCGCTCCCTAAGCGCCTCCTCTCCCAAGCGTTCTCCGTCTGCCATGTGAACGGAGAACAACCCTTGTGTCTGAATTTATCGCCGGTCGCTGGGCGGGCGTTCCTCGGGCGCTACCTGGTAGGGTCTGCCATGTGAACGGAGCGAGGTGGGTCGTTTCCAACTGTCCCGCCCAATCTGTCCGTTTGCGGGCGGTGGAAATGCGGATGGGCGGGCCGGCACGGATCGAAAGTCGTTTGTCCCCATGCAGCTGACAGAGCTTCGCACTACGCTCAGACAGACTGAGGCAGGGAAAGAAGAAACAGCTGAAAGCACGAAAACAGACCATTCTCTGTGTGTGTGTGTGTGTGTGTGTGTGTGTGAGAGAGAGAGAGAGAGAGAGAGAGAGAGGGGGGGGGGGGGGGAGAAATGTGATGAGGAAGAGAGGGGTGGTGGTCGAAGACGCAGGGGAAGAGATCTGAAGGTTGAGGGTTCTAGGCAAGGAATCAACTACAGGACGGGATCCTTGGGAAGAGGGTGTTTTTGCAACTGAAAGAATGCGGAGGGGTTGGGGGGTGGGAGAAAGTCGAAGAGAAGGGTGGGAGAGCGAGAGAGAAAGGGAGGAGGGGAGGGAGAGGCCACGGTTCTCTCTCCCCGTATGTCGACCTGCCTATCGATCTCGGGAAGAGAAGGATTGTGGACAAGTAGAGCACATACCGATGAATATGTTTCTGAAATGAAATCCGGCGAAAGGGAAGGAAAACAGCTGTGAGTTGGAAGGCAGGGTCTTCTTCTTCGTTTCAGCAGCATACATACGAGCATTTTTTGGACTGAATCTGGGCGTCATTGAAGTTACATGCATTGGACGAAGTCCTGGTGTGAACGAGTATTGCAGTGTAGCAGGGACGAATAACCGATAGCGTCTTTATTCAGAATATATATATACATATATGTATACCTACGATGTTATATTTTCATATGTGTATAAATTGATTGATTGATTGATTGATTGATTGATTGATTGATGGGCTGACAGAGAGGCTCTGTTGGATTGGTGGAGGGGATTGTGTGCTAAGAAAAGGATATATGATATATTGTCACAGCCCCTGGTTTGTTGTGCTCTTTTCCCTATCTGCGTACGGTTTACCGGGCAGCTCTGTTTGACGATATACGATATATATATATTTGACGATATATATACATATACACAATACATATATATACATAGGCTGGCAAGTGGCGGGAGTTGTGTACTCGAACAGGCGGGAGAGGAGCAGAACTACAGAGGACCTGAGAGTTAGTGGCAGGGGGGGGAAGAGATCGTCGAGTGGGCTGGCAAATATTGACAGAAGTGGAGGGAGGAGGGAGGAGGGAGCAAGGGAAAGGAGTGAGGAAGGAGGAGGACGGAGAGAGTAAGAAAGGAGAGAGATGGTAAGCAGCGGGAGGAAACGTTAGGGGAGAGGGGGAAGAGGAGGAGGGAGGGAGGGATAGGAGGGAGGGAGGGATAGGAGGAGGAGAGGAGAGAAGGGAAAGAGGAGGGGAGACGGGAACAGAGAGAGCGTAAGAAAGGAGGGGGAGGAAATGTTAGGGGAGAGGGAGGAGCAGAGGAGGGAGGGATAGGAGGAGGAGAGGAGAGAAAAGGGAAAGAGGAGGGAAGGAAGGGAGAGGGGGACAGGGATAGGCAGGAGAGGAGGGGAGGAAGGGAGACTGACAAACGGAGGGAGAAGTGTAGAGAGAGGCGAAGACCGAAAGTTAACCTGTCGCTGTATCTAGACTGGAAGTTGCCCCAAGTACAGATATAATGAGACGGCGACAGGATGGAAGGTCGGAGCGCAGGCAAAGCACATGCAGGTTTCTGGTTCCGTTTTTTTTTTTTTTTTTTTTTTT